GAGAAGGAGAAGCCTTGTATGAAATATTCAGTTTGGGGGAATGATCCTCATCCAAAGCAGGTGTTGGACACAAAGGGAGATGATTGAGAGGAGGTGGGGAGCACCAGATGTGGGATATTACCAGTGCCAAGGAGGTGGCACCTGCATGAAGGGTTTGCCATTGTCAGCTCCAAGTGTTCAGAGCTTCTGCCTCCACACACACACAAAAAAAGAATCAATGGCATCATTTCTGAGAAAGGATTATCTTAAACAATCCCATGGTTAGGAACTTTTTTAATTTGCTCCTGGGCAAAAACCCTCCAGGCTTCTCCTAGCTCACTTTCCCAGCCTGTCAGGAGGTCAAACATGGAGTTAAATGAGAAATCAATCTCATGACTGCAGGAGCCAAGGTCCAGAGAGGAAAAACCCAAACAAACCATAAATCATAACAAAAGAAAATGCCAGCTACTCCCAGGTTCCTGATAACATCATCAGAGGTGGCAACACTGGACTCCATAAAAAGCCTGGCTGAACTTTAGGGTCAAGCAGGGCAGCTCTTTGCTTTGTCCCTTTGTCCCCGCATGCCTGGGGAGTGACGCGTGGCTGACCCGGCTGATGGTATCTGTGCACAGCCTGCCATCCCAGCCTGACCTGCACCACTCCTGTCTGTCTGTCTGTCTGTCTGAAAACCCCAGCATGGCCTGCCTGGAGGTGCTGGAACACTTTCATTTCTGATTTCTCTACACAAAGTGCTGCCTGCCCCAAGGGAGCGGATTCTCCCAGCACCCTGCAGTTGTGTTGCTCAGCTGGGAGTATGTTCTTGTGTATTCCTGGCTTTTCTCACCTGCTGTGGCCTGTGTGCGGTTATTTTCTGGTCCTGATCCCTGCAAATCTGCACCAAAGTTACCCTGGAAGGTTCTGCACATACAGCTGCAGCACCAGGGTGGGAATGGAGCCAGATGTGAAGCAACCTGGAATTTCAGGAGTCCATTCCTCAGCCACTATCCCACAGGAATATTTTTCTTCTCATTTCTCGGTATTCTATGGAGCAGGATGTTTGTCCCCACTGCATCTGGGTGAAGCTGGGAGCCCCCTGGAGATAGGCAGGGGGAAAGTGTTTACAGGGAAGATGTTCAGGGAAAACTTCATGTGATGCATTCACTGTGAGACAGACACAGCTCAGCCAAAGCAAACTCCCTGTGACAAAAGGGACCCTCTGTCAGCCTGTGGATAAAGTCCCCTGCCAGGAGAAAGACAAGGACAGCTCTCCTGCCATGGTCTCAGCTGAATTGGAGCAGGCTGTGTGCTCCCCTGAGGACACAGGTGCTGGTGGCTCAGCTCTGTCCCTGGACACCTCCAGGGTCACTGTCACCTTTCTTTCTGCTCTGCTATTCCCAGGAGCTCATGAGCAGACTGTCCATTTTGGGCCAGACTTGCGAGAGGTGTCCCAGAGGGAGATTTTCTCTTGCAGGCTTGGGAGAATTCAGGCTGCTGTAAGGAGAAACCTCCTAAATGCCTCTGCTGAGGCTGCATGAACAGTACTGGATGCTGGTGACTCCACTTAGAATGGTTTAGGCTGAAAAAGACCTTAAAGATGGTTGAGACCACCTGTAAGAAGTGAGTCCAACATGAAGCAGCACAGCCTGAAACACCCTCCACCAAAGAGCTTTAATTGAACCTCTGGCTCTGTGTGTAAAGCCAGTCTGTAAGAAAACCACTGTTGGCACCTCTGAAACTACTTGTGCTTACTTGGCTGATGATTTGAAGTTGCAAAGGAGCTTTTGTTGGTCCCTACTTGTCACTAAACTGTCTCTGGCCTCTTTGGGGGGTCATTTGCACAGGTAAGAGCAGCACCTGCCAGGTCCATGCCCAAGCAGCCTGGCCAAGCCCCCGGAGAGGAGGAAATTCCCGATTCCCAAAGGCTGCAGAGAGGGGAGGAGCTGCGGGGAGAGCAGCAAAAGCATCGGAGTGTCCCGGCAGGAGAGCAGCACCTGTGAGGTCGGGGAGAGGACCAGGACAGGAAGGGTTTGGAGAAGGGAGAAGCTGAGCAGCGGCCAAGTTAACCCTTCCCATGCTGGCATTTTCCAGGCGGCGAGCCAAGTGGCTGCTGGGGAAGATGGATATAACACATGTCTGCAGTCTCCAAAGGGTTATTAACTCTGCAATAATGGCCATGAAACTTGGCTTCCTCCATGTACATTTAAAATTGAAGGAAAAAAAACCTACCCCAACACCAGTTTCAGAGGGGGAGAGGGCTTGTTTCCTAGGAACTGCAGGGCCAAATCCACCTCTGTGATGGTGAGAGGAGAAACCCCCCCTCCCCACGGGCTGGGAGCAGGTGAGCAATGCAACCACCACAACAGCACCACATTCCTGCCACACTCACCTTATCCTTATCAATAGCAATTGCAAGGCATTTCTGAAAAGTCCATGGTATTCAATTAATGTGTGTCACTGGAACTTTGGGATTTGGATTCAAGGAAACCACCAGTGCTGCTCCTAAGACAGATTCCTCTTCTGTTGTGTGGGTAATCTGTGGGGCTTGTCCCTCGCTCCTGGCTCCAGCCCTTGGCAACACCAAGGCCTGCCTGGGATGTTGCCCCTGTCCTGGGGTTTGCAGCCTCTTGGGCTCCTGTCCAAATGCTCTGGAAGTCTGGGATGCTCCATTGGGATTATCCCTACTCCAGTGTAGTCTGTGCCAGCCAGCCCAGCCACTGAGCAAGTCCTTCCATGCAGTAAGTTACAGACTTCTCTTTATTGGTGCCTCTCTTCTCCCACACTATTAAATTTATTCTTTCTCTGTATTGTTATTATTTTTCTGGCAGAGGACTTTGGAAGGTGGGAGAAAGGATCTACTAAAAAGTGAAACAAATCTGAGCCCCCTCGTCAAACCCTTGCGAGGCACCAGCTCCAGTCCCTCAGCAAATGAAGTCAGGGGGTGGTCTGGGTCTAAACGTGGCTGTGGAGGGCTCAGGCCAGGTTTGGCAGCTCACAAATCAAATTGCCTCGTGGCTCCCGGGAGCAGAGGATTGCCACAGAATGGGAGAGCTCTGCCCCACTCTGTGCCAGCCAGGGCCTGGCCTTGGAGGGAGGCACTGGAATCATGGGTTCACAGCAGGGCAGGAGGGAAATTCAGGCTCTGAGGTTTTATTTTCTGTGTTATGTTACACTATTGACACAGAGCAAGGCAGCCCCAAACTGAGATTTTGTCTCACTTGAATGGGTCCAGGCCAGTCCCTTTGCTTTGGTAAATTCTCATTAGGAGCAGAGAGAGCCCTGAAAGAGAGAGTGGGAAACACAGAGCTATTAAAACTCATCTGATCTCATGTTAATAGAGTTTGAGCCACGGATCTTGGCTTACTCTGATTTTCCTGCCGGGGGCTGCTTGCAGGTCCCCAGTTTTGCTCTTGCTGCTGACCACAGATAACATCCTGCAGGTGCCATCCCACAGGAGGGACAAGGGGTATTCCTGAGGCCACAGCAGGAGGTGGGACATGCTCCTGTGTCCCTGAGGTGCTGCAGAGGCCCTGTGCAGGGCAGGGCTTTCTGAGGCGCTACACCAGCCCATGGTGGGTGTCCCTTGGTGCCTGGAAAAGCACAGCCAGCAGGGTGAAGAGCTGGCAGCAGCTCCAAGGTTCTGACTCTCAAACAGCCTCTCTCCTTGTACAGGAGCAGCTCACCAGAAAATGTGGCTCTTGCTGCCTGTTCAATGCCTGGAAGAAAGAGAATGGTGTTAACGTGCTCATGTCTCTCACCAGTCCTGTTCCCAGTTCCAAACACCCTTTCCTCAGCACTCCCCCAGTGCCTGCCCTCCCGGGGATAAGCATCCAAACCTAATTCCACTTGTTTGGGACTCAGAGCCATTCCTGCTGTCAGTACGGCCCTGCACAATTCTGGTGGAAGTGCTGCAGGGAGACCTGCCAGAGTCATTCACACTTTTTTATGGGTCTTCCTTTGAATTCCTCTACAATTTCAGCAACAAAGTTGCAGATTTTTGCAAAGTTTAAACTCTAGGACTCTGCTCTGCTGGGCCACCACAATTTAAATCTGCTAACAGGTTGGGTCTTGACTGCTTTCCGTGACTCAACCATACCAGGAGCACAGGATCCCATCCAAAGCCCACCAAGCACAGCGGAAACCTTTCTGCTCTTGGAAATCACCCTACAGCTTCCAACAGCCCCTATCTAAATTAACTCTTCCTGATCCTGCACAGCTGAGGACATGCAGGATGTGGCCCAGCCAGGTGGAAGGAGCTCAGTGAAAATGGGAATTGGTAGCAAAAATCAATTTTTATATCTGTTTATGCACTTGTTTCTTATTTTCATCCATGCAATGAGTGCTTCAGGAGTATGTGGCGTCCTTGCCCAAAATCTTTGTACGTCCATATACTGTGGTCTGGGATGACCCTGCTTGAGGAGGGAGCTTTGACCAGATGTGCCTCTGTGGTGCCTTCCAACCTAACCCATTCTATGATATCGCCAACTTAAATGTTTTCCTGGTCCTCCAAGCCCTGGCACCAGTCCTGCAATTGGCACTGGGAAAGGAATGGGTGACTCTCAAGCGAGCTGCTGGAACCGTGTCTAAATTAAATTAATACTGAGGAAAGGGGGACGAAGGAAACACGACGGGGCTGCCCAGGGGCGGGATGCCGCCCGCCAGACCCCCTGACCCGGCCGGGATGTTCCCGGTGGCTCCGCGGCTCCCGAACCGACACCGGGAACCGAACCCACACCGGCTCCCGGAGCGGCCCCGCGGCTCCCTCAGGGCCCGGCCCGGGGCAGGAGACGGCGCCCCCTACCGGCCGCCCGCTCCCACGTGCGTTCCCCCCTCGCGGCGCGCAGCCAATGGGGGAGCGGGGGGCGCGTCCCGGCGGCGGCCGCCGCCAATGGGCGCGCGGAGCCGCGGCGGGGGGCGTGGCCGGGCGCGCGCCGCGGCGATCCCCGGTGCCGAGGGCGGGCAGGGCGCACTCGGGCCCCGCTCCCGTCGCTGTGCTGCGCGCTCGGCCCCGCCGCCGCACTACCATGTTTGACGGCTGCCTCCTGCCCCTCGTCGTGCCCTGCCTGCTGCTCTGCGGACTGGACGCCGGCACAGGTAGCGCTTCCAGCTGCCCCGGCTCCCCTTCCCCGGCGGCGCTGACAGGGTCCGGTCCCGGGCGGCAGCGTGCGGGCGCGGAGCGCAGGGCACGCACCGCATCCCCTGCGTGGCCGCGGTCCCAGCCCGCGGGATGAATTGCTCCAGGCTTTTGTATTTTCTTTTCCTGTCCTCCCGCTGCTGCTGTAGCGTTCCATGTGGAAAGCTGCTGACTGTCCTTGGCTGCTGCTGCGGCTCGCTCTGCTTTTCCCCTTCTCCCTGCAGATTTTTATTGGGGTTGGTGAAATGCGATGCTTGTGTCTGAGCTATATATATATATTATATTTTTTTAATGATACAAGTAGCTTTAGCGTTTGCTCTATTCCTCTCTTCCTGCACGCTTCTGTCTCTAATATATGTGTATATAGAGAGAAATAAACCGCCGTGCTCCGCTGGCTCCATTGTCTGCGCAGCCCGTTCACGGTTTCCAGCGCGGGGCTGTCTGCGCTGAAACCCGAGCGCGGGGCTGTCCCGGGGAGCGGGGGGTGCCGCAGCCCCCGGCCGCCCCGTCGGGCCGCGGCTCCGGGGTGCGAGCGCCTGAGCCTCTCTCCTTCTCGCCTGCAGCTGGCGGAGCGGAGCTGGAAGTGGTGATCCCGGAGCGAGTGCCGCTGGAGAAGATCCACCTGCTGCCGCCCGGAGGGGATCGCGGCGGCCCCCGGCGCCGGCGGGCAGCGGCGGAGCAGGACGAGAAGGAGGAGGAGGCTGTGCTGCTCCGCCTGCCCGCCGCCGGCGCCGAGCTGTACCTGCACCTCCGCCGCGACCTGCGCTTCCTGGCCCGGGGCTTCGCGGTGGAGCAGCGGCGCGGGGAGGCGCGGCGGCCCCCGCGGGAGCGGCTCTGCTTCTACTCGGGACACGCTCTGAACCGCAGCGACTCCTTCGCCTCCCTCAGCACCTGCGCCGGGCTGGTACTGCCATCCCACCCTTCTTCCCCACCTCAGGGCTGGTGCTGCCGTCCCACCTTTCTTCCTCTCCTCAGGCCCGGTGCTGCCATCCCACCCCGCTCCCCCCTCAGGGTCGGTGCTGCCATCCCGACCCGCTCTCCCCCCTCAGGGTTGGTGCTGCCATCCCACCCCTCTCCCCCCTCAGGGTCGGTCCTGCCATCCCGGCCCGCTCTCCCCCTCAGGCCGGGTCCTGCCAGCCCCATGGGGCGGGATGCCTGCGCTTCACCTGCCCTCAGGGAGATGACTCTCCTGTCCCCTCACCTCACTGTCCCCTCAGCTCTCAGGCCCTGCCAAGCACCGCCCTGTCCCATGGTGGGTGTTCTGCCCAGCCTGGCTCTCCCTGTGGAGCTGCCTCAGCCATCCCTGAGGGGCTCAGGCCCTCAGTTCCATTGTGGATGGGTGGCAGAACCCAAGGGTACTGTAGAGGAGCATCTTGATGGAAGGGAACATCTTGTGTCACTATCCCTAGCCATGGGGCAGGTGGCTGTGTCCCACTGGGGTGATTTGGTGCCATCCTGGCTTGATGCTGTGGCAGCTCTGCAGCTGGCTCTTCCCAGGCTCCTGCTGTCGGTATCGGGGTCTTCGCTGGGAGCTGTGCTAAAGGAGCAGCCAGTGTCCCAGCATGGTCCCAGGAGCATCCCACTCACAGGGGCTTTTCCCACCACAAGTGTCAGGATTTCTCTGCCCCAGGCTGTAGTTTCAGGTGGCTCTGCAGGGCCTGGCTCTCCTCTGAGCATCCCAGTAGGAGCAGGTGATCTTGTGTGGGACAGAAGATTTCTCTGTGTTGGAGATTAGATGCTTAAGACATTGAATAGTTTGCAATTATTGTTGATAACTTTTAAAGTACTTCTGGAAGTCAGCGGGGCATTAGGCAGTGATTCCCAGCAGATGTTCCGGGGAGGTGTGCCTGTCAGGACAGACCTGATTGTGGTGATTTATCCTTAAACCGTAGTGAGGAGCATTTCATGCTCTGCCCTCCGGGCTCCAGCATTCGTTCCGGAGCCATTTGAGGGCGCTGTGCCTCAGGATTAAAAAAACCCCAGCAAACAGAGATGCTGAGGTCTGAGTGGCACTGGAAGTTGAGCTGTGTTCCACCGAGGGCAGCTTAAAACTAATATCTCTAGTTCAAGCCTTAAATCACTAACAGCTCTATGCTTTTGCCACCAGGCGTGTTTTGTTAATCCTGCTGGGCTTCCAAAGCTGGAAAGCACAAACAAACAGAGGAGAAACCTTTAAAAAAAGAGGAATGTAGTTGTAGGCACAGTATTAACTGCCTGAGATCAGGGAATGGAGGAGGGGGTGATAAAGCTTGGCAAAATTCCCAGTAGGAAAGCTGAAAAAGAGACAAGACTAGTTAGTCTTAGCTCACTACTCAGTAAAAGTGAACAGCAATATTGCAGTACCTGTTTGGATCATGGCAATTCTAAGCAATGGCTAAATTGGCATAACTGGGCTGGATCAGCCTGGGATCAGTGTGAAAGCTACTGGTTTGTGCCAAAGCCCCTTGTGTTAGTGACAGTGCTGGTAAAGCTCTGCTTGCCTTTGCCTTGCACCTGGTCCTGGCAGATGTGTTGAGAGAGAGCTGTTTCTGCATGTTGGGATATTCCTTTCCTGTTAGAGGAATCCATTCATCCTCTTCATCCAGATAATCACCAGGAATGGGAAAGGGCTAGAAGCAGGTGCATGGGACATTTGAGTGAGTTAAAGTTAAAACACCCTTGTAAGCTCAAAACTAGAGAACAAAAAACTCCTGTGTCTTGAGGATTAGCCTGAACTTAAGATGGATGAAACTAAACTTAAGATGAACCTCATTAATTACTGAAATGGTTTCATTGAAATAATCCATACCACCATGTAGATGAACTTTATTTTAGCTGAGTGGACCATTTTGGTTTCTTAAGTCTGTCTTCAAACATGAAGCATCTCACATTTTAGGCTGTTTTTAGTGTTTACACAGTGGCCACACTAAACCAGCATACCTGTAGTGAAAGCTGTCTAATGTAGTGGTAAGATGTTTTCTGGGATCAGAGGAATCAAAAGTTTGCCCCAAATTGTCTTTAATGTGCTATGAGTAGACCTGAGAGCAGGTGACTCTAGAGCCTAAATTTTTTTTGCCTTCTAATCTGGCAATTTTAAAATACTAAGACCATCTCTTTAAAAAAAAATATTTTTATTTTCCCATTGTTTCCTTGAGCCCTGTTTGCTGCAGGAAGAATAAGACTTTGCCCTGAACAGCAGCTTCACAGGTGGGACATGGGCCAGACCTGCTGGGCCAGAGGAAAGACCTGGGTAGTGGAAACCTTGCAGCCTGTTTGTGCTGGCATTTGTCTTGTGAGCATTTCTAGTGCTGCAGTGGGGGTTTCCTGAAAATTCCAGCAGGGGAATGCTCATTGGACTCTGACTGGGTGATCAGGACATCTCCTTCAGAAAAGCTGCTTGCCAAGAGGTAGAGTGGGCAGTAATGCTGTGTCCTGATCTCCAGCTGGCTCAGGCCTTGCTATAATCATATTCTCAGCCATGCCATAAATCATACCAAAAGTGATAGAAAATGATCAGGGCAAGTGGAGTTCTAGTAAAAACAAAATCCCTGACACAGTGGCACGAAAGCTGAGCTGCAGCCAGGCTGAGCAATTGCTTCCTGGTGATGGAATCAGATTCCCAGTGTGGCATCTGAAGGTTGGGCTCTGGTGTTCAAGCTCTGCTGGCAGATGCTGCTGTTAACCTGTGTGTGGCTGCTGCAGCTCTGCTTTGGGAAGGGTGGCCGAGCTCTGTGAGCTCAGAGTGAGGTAAAAGCTGCTCTACCCAAGGTCTCACCATTGAAATACAGCTGAAGTGCCTGGTGTGAGGATGCTCCAGTGCTCCTGTTCCTCGTGACAAGCTGGGAATGGAGCCTAGCAGAGGCACAGGGTTCCTGGAAAGTGCTGCTGCCTTCCCCTTGGCAGCCCCGGCCTCTGGGGAGTGCAGCTGTGCCAGCCCTTGGACTCTGGCCACAGCTCAGGGCTGCACTGCCCTGCCCTGCTGCTGGGCACTCACAGGCAGCTCTGCAGCCCTGGGACCATCACTACAGGACAGCAGCCACTGCAGGAACTTTGTTTTTTGGAAGGTTCCAGCTTTGTAAGGCCACAGTTGAGTCACTGTCATGTGCTGAAGTGCCGGACTGCAGCATCAGCCCCTTAGAGCAGGTGTAGGCTTTTCATATTTCTCATACCTTCATTTTGGAAACAGTTACAGGTTTAAGAGGGTCATGAGTCCATGTCAAAATGAGAATTATAATTGGAAATGAAAAGAAGCTCTTGAAAACTGTTCAGGAACAAAAAGGTGACAATCACTGGGATGCATTTAGAGGCAGAGGTTTGATTCTACACAACTTCTCTTCCATTTTAAAATCCAGAGTCTTTGATCTTGGGTTCAGGATTGCTCTTTGTCTTGTCTCTAACTAAGGTGGTATGTCCTTCTCAGTTGAATTAAGAGAATAGTTTGTGCCTCCTGTGTCTTTTCTCTATATAAGGTGGCATGTCCTTCTCAGTTGAATTTAGAGAATAGTTTGTGCCTCCCTCCTTTCAGGGTAGTTCATGGAGTTCTCCTGGAGAAGAGGAACAAGGATGCAGAAGAGGCTGCAGTGTGTCAGGGTTAGGCCAGTCTGGGTGTCAGGGCTGGGTGAGTGATGAAGGTGAGCACTTCCCTGGTGGCTCCTCCTGTGCCACAGGTCCCTGAGGCTGGTGGATTGCCAGTTTCACTGCAGAGGGAGCTGGTGCCTGGCTCAGAGCAGGTGCTGCAGCTCAGGGAGCTCCATCCTGGCCAGGGAAGTGTTTTCTTCGTGCACCAGGGCGGTGCTGCCCTGCAGGTGACTCGGGAGCCTCTGCTGCTGTGGGAAGCAGGACAGAGCAGGCGTGTGGGGATTAAAGATGATACAATTTCCCCCGAGGAAACCTTCAGCTCCACTGAACTCTCCTGTCTGGGAGAGGAGCTGTCTGGCATTCATCCATAGCTGGGCCACGAGCTGAAAGGTTAAACCTCTTAAATTACTGTGCTGGGTTTCCTTGTGCTGGGATTTTCTTTCCTCTTCCACAGTGGACAAGAGGGAGAAGATGTTGGGGTTTCCTTGTCTAGCAGATTTGGAGGGCAGGGCAGATATTCCTGGGTATGTTCTGCTCTCAGAGCTGAGTGTAAACCTGAAATGACTCTGGAACAAGACTTAATTTAAAGCTCTTCTTTTCAATTTGCTTGAATTGCAGTTTTAAATAATAACCAGGCAAAGCTGAAACATGGTTAATAAGGGTGGGACTAAAACCCACATGAAGTTTATTAAACTGTATTTGTGGGTTGTTTTGTTCTTCACTTTAAACATTAACTTCCTTTTAACTTTGAGGAAATAGTTAAACAACGATTTACAGTGTAACAGTTGAGAAATTGAGAAGGGGATGGAATTTGTCAGATGTTTAAATCTGTTCTCTTTTCAGCATGTTCTATGTATGTAACTAATGAACACTTAGGAGCAAGAGAAAAATCTGTTAAAGATTCAGCATTTCACAGATCTCCTTCAAAGATGTTGTGAAAATAAAAAGGGCTGGAAAAACAGTGTAACTGTTGGAGAGTATTAACATGTGGGGAGGTTGGGAACCATGTGCAGAGAGCACTGAGGATTTGGATCCCTGTTCTGAGCAAGCCCTGGAGCTGCAGCAGCTCCAGCAGCACTACCAGGGCACAGGGACAGAGCCAAGGAGGCAGGATGGGGTCACACAAAGGCTGTGCTGCCTCTGCCATTCCAGTGACACTCTGTGAGGAGCTTCCTCCTTTCCCTGCTGCATTTAGCCCAAGAGAAGCTCCACTGGAAGATGACTTGTAGCAGAGGAGTGGTACAAGAGTAGATGACAGAGTGAGCAGGTTGCCTGAGTGACCCCTTTGTGTGTGAAGCCCTGGATAAGAGCACATGGGAATGTTCTCGTGGTGAGCAATGTTGAGCTGATTTCTAAAATAAGGATGTGAATTATCCATAATGTGAAAGATCTTGCCACTGTTAGGCACAGTGGTGAGTGGGGCTGTAGTGGGAAGTGTGGATTATTGTTTGTTTTAATCAGCTTGTCAGTTTGCCTGCCTTTGGGGGCTGAAATCTTTCCAGCCTTTCCTGTTAGCAGAGCTGCAGGGCTCTGTCAGCTGCATGGTCTGGCCACACCAACTGTAAAATTAATGCAGATGGTGGTGAACTCCTGCACTCCTCTGAATTTTCGGGTTCCTGTGTCTCAGGTCCTCCAGGATGGTGGGGTTGGGCAGCAGCTGCTTTTCCCAAAATTCAGCTATCCCAGGGTCTGGCACAGCAGCAGGTTCTGGACTCCCACAGGGAGAGAGGGATGGGAGGGAGTATCCCAACTCTTGATATGCATCTCCCCAGGCAAGTGGGACTTGGCAGATCCAAAGCATTTCACTTAATTGGAGTGGTTTCCTGGGATGTGGGAAAAGTAGCTCTGAGGGTTACCTGGTATTCTGTACTTTTACTTCCTTACTTCTTTTTACTTCCTTGTCTTCAAAATCCAAAGCCCTCTGCAGTCCCTCAACTCAGACAAGAGAAGAAAAGCCCAGAGCCTCTGTCCAGGGCTGATGTCTGATCTCTCATGCTGGGATTAGCACAGGGCAGGACCTTCAGGATTTGAGGGATGCAAACGAGGAATGCATTTCCTATGGAAAAAGCAAAATAATGACCAGACCATTCAAGTTGCAAGGTCCAAAAGATCTCCTTGGGCCATCAGATTTGGGGACTCTTCAGAACCCAACTGGCAAATCTGGGGGAATTTTTAGCATTTTGTAACTCCCTAGGGATGCTTTACATGCCTTATCCTGCAAACCCTTCTGCTTGAAACTCTATTTGCCTGTTCAGATTGAGCTTGAGATGCTTCCCAACGTATTCCAGGGTGAAGACTCATGGCTCTTTCTCTCCATAGGTTTCACAATTCCACAGCAAATGTGAAACATAAGTCTTTTCCAATGGTTTAAATTATTTTCACTCCTGATGCCAGAAAATTGGGATAATGTGGGGTGGTGATGAAACTGACTTCTTCTTACACGCTTTTGGCACCAGCTGAAATGGTTGGCAGTCTGTCAGGAGCTCTGGTGTGGCTTTTAGTACCATGGCACCAGATTTATAACCCTTCTTCTAAATAATTAAAACCTATATTAAAAAAGGGGGCTGGGGCTACCTCCCAGCTGGAAGATTGGAACAAGGAGGGGAAGTAGTGGAGAACATCGTAAAGGAGGCTGGAAGAACAAGTCACCAGAGCTTTTGCTGTCTCTGGAGCAACTCTGACAAAGCCCAACTTGTGATTTAAGTAAAAAGGCAGCCCTTTGGACACTCCAGGCAGAGGGGGTCTTGTAAACTGGTGAGCATTCTGTAGGGCCCAGGAATAATGTTGGATTTTCTCTGTATGCAGGAAGTGCCAAGGCATTTTATCCTTAAGCAGTTCTCTGTCCCAAGAGCAAGGTCTCTTTTGGAAGGCCCCCAGAGAGGTGTCTCTTGTCTCCTCAGAGACAGGGCACTGATTGTCTCTGCTGTGCTCTGCAGCCATGCCCAGTGGAGCACCAACTTCTACAGTTTTCTCTTTGTCCAAGCTCTCTTTGGAAATCAGTGACCCCTCCAGAGACCCCCCGAATGCTGTTCAGCTCGTGTGGCTGTCAGAGGAGGAGAGCTCTCATTTCTGCTGCAGAAATTCCTCTTGCTGGAAATACTGGGCCAAAGGGATTTCCTGGGTGTACGTGAGGACGGGATTTGGCAGGGAGGTGTGGAAATGTGCAATATACAGTATGGATGTAATGTATATTATAAATCACCCTAGTACAGTCAGCTGTTGAACATACAGCATTTGGATGTACGTGCAGAGCATTTCTTTGGAGAGTTGCCTGGCTGGCACAGAGTGTGGGGAGGGGGGACCAGGAAAGTCTGGCCTCTCTTTTTATGTGCAGGATGTGTGTTGGAGCCCTCTGGAAGCACTTTTACCTCTCAGGTGCACAATCCTGGCAGACCAGATGAGCCCTTCTGTTGATAACAGAAGTTAAATCAGACCTCAAAGATTTCTCTCAAGGGGGAGGTACAGGGCAGAGCTGTGTTTTGAGCCTTTTAATTGCAATATAAATAATCACTGGATTAGTGCAATGAAAAATAAGAACTCCTCACTGCAAATACCCACTTTTAGTGCAACATGTTACAGCCTTGGTGTTGATTACTAAACCTGGAGGCTTTGTTAAGTTTTAAGGTGATAACTTTGCTTTCACTCTCTTCTTTTCATGCCAGAAAAGGAGTGGAAAAAGCATAAAAGAACCTTGAAAGCTCTGGGTTGTGAGCAGAGGAGGGCTCTCCTGGGGCAGAAGCTGGCTTCCAAAGGTGTTCTTGCCAGCCCTGCTGTAAGGTCTGGACTTGGTGCAAGGAAGGCAGGGATTTAGTGCTCTGACCTGGACCCTATGGAGTTATTTAGGCAGGGTCTTTGCCTTCCTAGTGTCACTTATTCCAGGAATGGTGGAAAATCCTGAAACTGGGGCAGTACGACAGTCCATTCCCGACTTCACCTCTGAAACCCAACCCATGGCCTGCAGGGAGAGCAGAGCTGACTGTGTGGCCCCTAATGAAGTCAGGAAGAGGTGTTTGGTCCCAAAAATGCTGTGTGGCTCTGCAAGTCACACTTGCATCCGTTCACTCAGTGTTCCTTGTGAGGGTGGTGCCCACAGGGTGCAGGCAGTGTCACCTCTGTGCTCTGAGACAGTAAATGCCATTCAGTAGCAGGGCAGTCCTGGCAGCTGGAGAGGTGATTTTGAAGGGATTTCTGTTAACAGGATTTATTTGTCCTCATGTGAGCTGAGCATCTTGTAAAACACCCATATTTGTGGGGCTGTGTCTGGAGGGGGAGGAGGAAGGGAAAGCAAAAGTGTTGACAGGAATCCCCACCTTTCCTTTGTACAGTGCATTGTTTCTAGTGCTCAGTGATATAAAAAGTAAACAAGAGAAGCAGATGAAGTTCTTTATTCTGTATTATACAGGGTGAGCACAACCATAATCCCATCATTTCATCACACTGCAAATCATTGCAGTGAAATGCCCTGGGATTCAGACCAGACTGGATAGACAAGGCTTGGGCACCAAACTGATGGGGTTTTTTTGTTCTGTTTTGTGCACAGGTTGGCTACATCCAGCTTGGGTCAGAGCAGCTGCTGATCCAACCTGTGAATGCATCTGAGAGCTCCTTCAGTGGGAAGGAACATTTCATCAGGCGCAGACGATCCACCAAGCCCAGCCACCCCTCCAGGCCCCAGGGCCCTGAGGAGCCCTGCAAGGTTGTGGCAGGTGAGCTTGGGGTGGCTCCAGAGAGCAGCATGGCAATTCTGCTTGGATTTTGTGATTCTGGTGGGTGGGCAGCTGGGGCTGGGGGAGCATGGCAAGTGTGGGTGAATCCTGTTGCTGCTTCAGGCAGTAGTCACATCACAGCCATGAGGTTGTCAGGGCATGTGCTGTAACACTGGACATGTGAGATGATAAATTCTGCTCTAGTCTTGCAGTGTGACCACTGCTCAGGGAGGGATTCGATGGGTTTTAAGCAAAAGTTCAGGATTTTTTTTCTGTGTTGATGGAGACTCTTCCATCTCGCCTTTCCACTGGAGTTGTGCTGAGCAGGCAGGGGTAGAATGGTGATCCTCACATTTCAGAGGGTGGTAAACATCATTTCACCTGCTTTGATATAATTGAATCACAGGTATCATCTGTGGAGTCCAACTCCAGGGATCCAGCTCATAATGGGATAAAGGGATATCTGGAGATGGAAGAGATGCACAGTTTGTCTTTCAGAGCAGTCTGCTTTCTTTTTCAGCTTCTCATGCCATCATTCTTACTTCTGTGTAGGAGAGCACACAATCCATATCAGGGTCAACTGAGTAGACTTTGTATTCTTTTATGGCTTTAAATTGCTTTTGTAAGAGCTTGTGTGCATTTGGAACTACCAGATGTAGTTCAGCAAGGTGATTTTTTTAAACTAAGAGCTTGATTTTGCTTTTTCTGTCTGGTGTTTGATTCATCAAACTTAAGCTCAATCTGATAAAAAAGCTGTTATATCATATATTATAATTTACTGTCATTTTTCAGGAGAAAATGGCCAGCTCTGTTCCTTGATCATATCCTGTCTTCTCCCACTTTCAAAGCCACACAGGCAAATTGCCAGCTGATATAAACTATTTTTTTGCTTCTTCAGAGTTATTAAATGTTATCCTTTCTGGAATTCTCTCTGGGTGTGTTGCAAAAGGGGTATATTTTATGAACTTTGTGAAATCTTTTCATTAGGTTGCAGTGTCCCTGTGTTTTCTGCTCCTTTCATTCCTCTCCTGCCTTCTCCTGGATGGGTTCCATAAATGGAGCAGTGGGTTCTGCTGCTGGGCTGCCAAAGTGGGGAGCAGGGCTGGGGGGATTTTCTGGGCACAGGAGAGAGGATCTCCGGTGTGGGAAGAGCTGAGTGCTCAGGGACAAGGGCTGCTGCTGGATGTGGAAGGATGTGGCATCAACAGGAGGCACAAAAATCTTCCCTGTGGGAGCAGCAGTGGAAGAGACCTGAAGGAGCTCGCTGGAGCAGGCAGGAGCCTGAAGTTTGCTTGTAAGGCTTTGTATCTCAGTTTTTGTATTTAACCACACCTATGCACCAGCAAAACAACCTGTGCCTCTTCTGCACTGGGTGCTGGTAAATCCTGCAGCCAGGACCTTTATTTTCTCCTGTGTGGAGCTGAGCTCTTAATAGTTCAGCAAGTTTATCATTCTCAGGGGTTCAGACTAAGCCAATCTTCTCTCTGATTCTCTGAGAATGAAATCTTGGATCTGGTTACAGTTACAGATCCCTTATGTCTCTTTTCAGAGAAAACATCAGAATTCAGCGCTGTTCTGATTTCCCAGCCAAGTTCTGTAGGTGCTGCAGCCCTGTGGTCACAGAAAATGCATTTCAGAATTCTTACACTGTAAAATGAGACAGCCATTAGTTAAAATCTGAATTGAACCAGAATCAGTCCAGGAAATGAGCCTCACCCTTTGGCCACTGAACCTTTTGACCTGTTTTCTAGGGGCAGGATGCTCCCTGTCCTTGGCAGAACTGGAATTCCCTCCCTGAGAAGAGGAACTAAAGGAAGGAAACTGGGGAGACACTGGGTAATAATTACATGGCATCACAAAGGGAAAGAGGAGCTGAGTGAGCATGAAGGTACTAAAAGAAGACACTGATAAAAGAGCATTTCCAGTGGCACCTCCTGCTTCCTGAGGGCCTCTGGGGAGCCCCTGCTACACTGGAACAGAATTCCCATCCCTTGGGTGCTGACTCTTGCTGTGCTAGAAGGGAGCCAAGCCTTGCTTGGCAGTAGCCCTGATCTAAAATAATGCAATTGCTCATGGATTTCCCCCTTAAAGGCAGACCCCTGGATCTTTGTCATTGTTGAGGGACAGAAATGTAAGTCATGGCTGTTAATAGGCTTAGCACATTAATGACCTAATTGCCTCCTGTCTGCTTTGGATTAACTTTTGTGCATAAGGAGTTTAGAAATGAAAAAATTAATCCTGTCTGACACACAAAAGGTCCACTTCTAATAAAACTGTGTGGAAGTGACCATCTAGGGGTGTGCTTCCAGAATTTCTCCTGGGAAAAGGTCTCATTACAGTGAATCTCACCAATGTGGACTGGTCAGATTTATACTAGAGGTTGTTTTCTAGTGGCTTAAAATTTGGCTCACCCAGGCTAAAACTTGGCAGGAAAGGTTGGAGGTTGTAAATACATGGGGATATTTCTATGCCAGACATTTAGGTACAAACCCTGTATTGTAGAATGACATAGACAGAAAAAGACAGGTCTGTGTAAATACAGTATAAAATGAGTATTTTTCAAGGGCACAGAACTGCCATGCTTGGGCATTTTTCAGTCCTTTACTGCTGTTCTTGTATTTTCTGAATACACAAGAATCACCTCTGTATGTATTTTCTTCTTCAAATTCTGTAATTCAGAGGTAGCTGGCGTAATCTGGGGTTATTTGGGAATCAAAGCACAAAACATAAGCTGAATTTTTAATGCTAGCTATTGATCATGCCATAAAAATTTAAACAGGGCTAAATTGCTCAATGGCAAATTTCCTGTGATATATGAACTTACTCACTTGTAAAACAAAGGTGCTTGGTGATGTAATGTGTGAGCATTTGGAGGAGGAGCAGGAAAGCACTTTAGGAAGGCAAAATGAACTTAATTAGGAAGTGCTGCTGGGGGCACAGAGAGCACAGCTTTCCAAGGGCTGTGTTCCACCCAGAGATGTGGTGCCCTCCCTGCAGACCCCAGCACTGGGAGGGGGAAGGTGGCTTGGGGCCAGGTAATGCCATCAGGCTGGTTTGATAAGGGCTGGTTAAAATCTCTAAAACAACTCCCTTAGTCTGAGTGGTGTTCCATGCCCTGCAGCACTCAAAATTATTTTTAGGTCTGCAGGAGAACTTTATGGGAGCCAAATTTCTCCTGGAATAATCTGTATAAGAGGATTAATCTGGCTGTAGTCAAGAATGGGAAAGTACTTAAGGTTTTGCATGACTGGATCCTTGAGATTTGAACCTGAAAGTGTCTACTAATGGGTTAAAAAAATCCCAGAGCTGATGTTTTAATTCCTTTCTTTGAATTCCAAAGTGCTCCAGCAGCAAAGGAGGGATCCCATCACCATGGGCCAGGTGCTATTGTTAGTCATATGATATGTGAATATGTTTTATTTTTATCACCTGTCATCCAGCAAGAGAGAGAGAGAGAGTTCAAGTCACAATGCACATTTCTGCTCAGGCATGAACATGAGCCCCTGTGAGGCAAACACAAAACCTATTAAAAGGTTTCCAGGTGCACATGCAGTGAGGGGGAAGGAAGGGAAGCTTGGGTTTCACTTGCTCTGGGCAGGGAGTGGTGAGGAACAGGGGAAGCAGCTCCACAGCAGTGATGGGAAACACCTCTCATCTCTGGACACTGGGCAGCACCTGCACAGCTCCTGTCACACCCTGCTCTCACTTTAAACACCAGCTCTGACCACTTGCTTGTCAAAGGTCCTGGAGAAGTGGTTTTGCTATGGAGAGAGTGGAGTCAAAGGGAGTTTTGTTTGCAGGCTTTAATAGATACAAGTAAGAGTTTCCCTGCAGAAGAGCCAGGCAGGAGAGAAAGATCTCTTTTAAGGCATCATATATGATTTTTGCAGTGCCCAACCCCTGAGATGGAGCTTCTTTCATTGTCCTCTCTCTGTGTGCTTGTGACATGTAATAAATGTTTCCATGTGACAATATCCACCACAGCCTCAGCTGCAGTAAATGAATTATTTTTCTGAACTATCATGGAACAACAGTAGTTTAACTATTTACTGAGACACATATTTTGCACATTCCCTTTGCCATCAGAGTCTGTAAATAGGAAAAAAATACAGTTTTTCTTGCTTTTGAGAAAGTATCATTGTTCAAGACAGAATCAAAGCATGTTGTGAAAGCATAGCAATCTCCTCTAACCATGTCATAAAACTTTCTGTTTCTTCAGGAAAAGTAAGTTCTGTTACAAATTCTCCAAAGGTCTCCAGTGATGTATTAAAGTCTCCTTACATAGGAAGGATTTGATATACAATACAGTCCAGGAGCACGAGAGAGAGCAGCTTGTCTTTGGACAGAAGGTTGTTATTTCATGTTTATGATATAGACCTCATAAATTACTCTTAAATGTGGGTTTGCTTTAAACCATTTTGTCAGTTTAAATGAACCAGTTTTGCTTTCATGCAAATGTGCTGCACATACAGTGAAATAACAGGAAGATCAATATTTTAATTCACAAAATAACAACGTGTTGCTTCTCTGCACAGTTACTTTGCAACCTGTTTTAACAATTTATCAAAGCTGGTAATAATTTAAGTAAGTGCTGGTGTACAGGTATCAAATGTAGGGAATGCTTTCCCTGAGCAGGTATAAATCTTAAACACATGTTACTGCTAGGTTGCATTTCCCCATCTTTAATCATTGTCTCCTAGCTGTGTTTTCTCTGCAGGTTTGACTTGGCCTGAAAGAGCAGTTGTTATGGCCAAAAACATGTGCACTAAAAATAGAGAGATGTAATGCAACCTGTATTAGTCCATATTAGGAAGCAGCTGTTGGAGAATTAAAGCAGATTTCAACAATGGGCTCCACAAAGATGTAATTTGATTAAGTGTTTGCAAGCACAGGAGGATTCCCTGTATCAGGAACTCAGCACTGTGCCCATGGGAGTGTGTCTCACTTCTGTGGATAAATCCCTTGGTTTTTCCAGGTCCCTTCTCTTCCTGATGGGGAGT